AAACTTTTGCCCTGCGATAATAAAATTTTGTTATCAGACACATGAACCGAAGGAAAATGAATGGAATAAGAAATGTTTTTATTTCTTCCTTGGAGACGTCAGACTGGCTGAAAACTTGGAGAAAATTCTTTTCTGAGACCATGTCGGAAAACCAGCCGTCTGATGAATTAGCGATAAACTACTTGACAAACGCCACGTGTTGAACAAAGAGTTGTCATATTATCCGTTCATGATAACGGCGATAATTATTTTTTTTAGTTAAGCAAGGTATTTTTTTTCTCCAAAACAAAGCCGCGGGTTGTTCACGCCCGACTAAGACGTCATTGGTCAAGTGGTGATCACATGACGCACGAAGGAGGAGGAAAGATACCCGACCAAGACCTCATTGGCCGAGAGTGATCACGTGACGCACGAAGAAGGCTGTTGACGCCCCCATCCAGAGTATAAGTATGAGAAGCCGCTACGAAGAAGTGGGGAGGGCAGTTCACGCCCCTCAGAAGCATGGTGAGAAGTGGGAGTGAGAAAAAAGTTACCAAAAATGGAAAAGAGTGGAAAGTCCCTAACCAGAAATAAAAGAGGTGGATATGTATTTAGAATTATCGAGGAACTCCCCGACGCCAACAGACCCAACCCGGTTTTTTGTTGGCGTCAATAAAAACCAGGCCCCAACAGGCAGAAATCAGTTCGGACCCTGACGGGCAGAAGTTCGAGCCCTGACGGCTGAGATGAGTGTCCAGTAGTTAGTTTGGCCCTGACGGCAGAGATGAGTGGACAGTAGTTCGAGCCCTGACGGCAGAGATGAGTGGCCAGTAGTTCGGCCCTGGCGGCAGAGATGAGTATCCAGAGTTCGGACCCTGGCGGGCAGAAGACAGTTCGTTCGGCCCTGGCGGCAGAGATGAGTGTCCAGTAGTTCGGACCCAGGCGGGCAGAAGACAGTTCGTTCGGCCCTAGCAGCGGAGATGAGTGTCCAGAGAGTACGGGCCCTGGCGGCAGAGATGATAGACCAAGATAGATGACCAAGATTCACGCAAAATTTTGGACTCCTCTTCAACCAAGAACAATTATTTTGAAGAGCGACTTAGAACCAGACTACAGAAATAAGTTTTTCGACTTTCGTCCAAAGACACACCGAAACACAAATTTCTTAGAGAGCAAACAACTTGAAGCGTTAAAACTTGCCTAACGGAAAACGACGTGTCACAATCCACAGAACGGGTCGGGAGATAGATGCAGTCCTATGTATCGAACAACTAGACATAAAGTTTGTTACCTTTTTCTTTGATACTTTGAACTTTTTGAGTTTTCATTTTATTTTCTTTTATGCATATTTGTGTGTTATCACCCCCGTTGAACTCAATTTGCATTACAGGACCCAACCCCTGTTTGATCTCGTCTGTCTAAGATCAATTACCAACGTGGGTAGGCAGACTGGAGATCAGTGCAGTTACCTTAGTAACCAGGCGTTGGAAGCGAGTTGGGAACGGCGAGGCTGATGTCAAATCTAACCAGATTCCCACCCGAATCACCAAAAGGTTAGAACGTCACATTTGGGTGCCGCGACCGATACCAAGCCAGTTGGTCGTCACAGTACGAGACAACACGACTGACGCGACAGGCGAATGTCACGTTTGGAGCAGCGACACCCGGACGGAGCAGCGAGGAGCGAACAGCTGGCGCCGCGGCGAAGACGTCACAATTGGTGCTGTTTAGGGACGTCACAACTGGTGTCGTGACCGGGATAGGACCCTGGAACGGCCACGTCACAACTGGCGCCGTGGTAGATCAGGATAGAACGTCACAGTTGGCGCTGCGACCGGGGGACGACGTCACAAGATTGTAAATGCGAAAATAAAGGTTAGAGAGGAAATTCGTGAAATGTGAAGAGCGTGAATGCAGACCGGGAAAATGAAGATTGAACAGAAAATTCAAGAAAGTGAAGTTTAGCAAGGCAAAACGTGAAGTGGAGATTCGGTAAGAAATTCGAGAATATGAAGTTGTTGAATTCCGGATCAGAAAGTGAAGATTGCATGGAAATTCGAGAAAGGGGACTCGAAGGAAAAGCTAGTAAGGAAGGAAGTTATGACAGAAATGTTAATAAGAAGGAAAGGAAAAAAAATGAAATGTTATGATAAAAAAAATGATGTCTGAAAGGAAATAAATAATTATTAAAATAAAATAATAATTTGAAGATGGAAATTATAGCTCATACGTAATTAGTAAAATGAATGTATTTTATTTTCTTAATCCGGCATATTTTCATTATTTCAAACGATATTTTTAGCGGATGCCCGTATTTGAATAGACGCTCCGGTTTATTTTAAATAGTATTTAATTTCTGTCTATATTTCTGAGATGAGGTATTATGTACATTATTTACATTATTCGGACTATTGTCTTCATCTTTGTCGTCATATTCATCACAACGTTTCGGCCGTTCGGAAATAAAGGGTTCAGTTCGACATTCCAACCACCTAAAGAAGGCCGGAGCGTACAACGGCCGAAACGTTGTGATAAATATGGCGACAAAGATGAGGACAATAGTCCGAATAATATAAATAAAGTATTTATTTTATCTGTGTTTCGCGGTTTATAAGACGCTCCGATGCATTAGATGCCCCATATTCTGAAGGAAGAAATCGGAAAAAAATGTTTCTTCTTTGTAGTTCATAGCTCTCCCTAATATCCCCGATTTTATCCACCCAGCTAAACATGATAAATTCATCACAGACCGAGAAGAAATACCAAAATTATGGTAAACGTGCTACTCGACTGGCATCTCGGTCCCACCCTTTCACTATCGAAACGGTTAAATATTACCAGATATAAAAATCTTTTCGGCATTAAATAACCCATTGAGGTGTTGATATGCCGTAAAACAAAACAAACCAAACTTCATTTTTATTATTATCATTACACGCAAAGAAAGATGGCACCCTGTGCCGCGCCCGGAAATTTTTCTCCCCGGAATCGATCCCTCAGATCTACAAATCAACAAATTCGCTCTTGCATGGAGTATTGCTGCTATATATGGTCTGGAGCCCCTTCTGTTTGCCTCAGGGTTCTTGATAGGCTCCAGAGACGGATATGCAATATAATTGGCCCTGTTCTGGCATCTCGTCTACAGCCACTCTCTCACAGACGCGCCGTCGCCTCTCTCTGTCTGTTCTACAAATACTTTCATGGAAATTGCTCCGAGGAGCTGCATTCGCTGGTTCCAAGACTTCATGAGTTCAAGCGCCCGACGAAGCTGACATCCCGCTTTCACCCCTTCGCTGTTGAAACTCCTAAATGTAGCTGTCTCTTCTACTCCAGTAGCTTCATGTCTCGCACCTCTCGCCTGTGGAACTTACTTCCCTATTCCAGTTTCCCTGAGAGCTATAATCTCCAGCTATTCAAATGTAATGTCAATCGACATCTCCAGTTGCCTTGATCTATCCACTACCCTTCTCCTCATCCTTTCTTCTATCACTCCTATCTGATTTTATTCTAAATTTTCTGTAACCCCTTGCGTCCTAGTGGCTTCCCGCCTTGCTCGGGGTGAAACGCTTAAAAAAAACCTCCTACTCGACTGGCATCTCGGTCCCACCCTTTCACTGTCGAAACGGCTAAATATAGCGGTCTTATCAACTCCAATAGCTTCATGTCTCGCACCTCCCGTCTGTGGAATTTTCTTCCTGTTACTTGTTTCCCTGATAGCTATAATCGCCAACTATTCAAATGCAATGTCAATCGACATCTCTAGATGCCTTGATCTATTCCCTGTCCTTCTCTTCACCCTTTCCTCTATCACGCCTCTTTACTCTCGCTCCCTCTTGCGTGCTAGTAACCCCTTGCATTCGAGTGGCATTCCGCCTTGCTTGGGGTGAAAAGCTTAAATAAAACTATTTAGAATGTAATAATTTGAAGAGAAGTTAACTCCTGTCATCGACCTTCGATTTATATGACGCAGGGTGAGTTTTGAAGATATTTTATAATTACTTACCGTATTTTCCGGCTACAAGACGCATTTTTTTCCTAAAAAATACCCTGAAAAATACGTGTGCGTCTTCCAAGACGAATGTAAGGCAACGCCTAAGCTCAAGTAAGCTTGGACGGTCACCTAACTGGCTTGCCTGATAGCGACTATAATGTTAGCTATCTATATACTTCAGCCTATTATAGGATCTAACTTCAGTACCTAGGTGTTAAATGAATTTCCAAGACTATAAACCTTCCTGGAGCCGAGCCACAAGCTTAAACATAGTCTGTTTACTAGCATGGACGGGAACATTTCTGCTCTTGACTAGTATGTCATCGGACGTGTGATTAATTTAAACAATACGTTGCCCCAGTGTGTGATAGATGCGTGGTGAATGTGTTGTATGAAAATGACTTTTTTTCTTAGGAATTTCTTTCCAGTATTAGGGTCCATTTTCCAGGCCGTAGCGTTTTGTAAGCCGGAAAATACGGCAATTGCTGAAGCCTCGTGATGCGTGGATTTAATGTTAACAAAAAGGTTTGTCTACGAAATTCTGAAGACTGAGAAGAAATACCTAATTTATGGTAACTATTTAGAATGTAATAATTTGAAGAGATGTTAACTCCCGCCATCGACATTCGATTTATGGGACACAGGGTGTGTTTTGGAGATATTTTATGGGAAAAATCCGTTTTATAAGCAGTAAAATACGGTAGTGTTTAAAATAAAACGGGGCGTCTTCTCAAATACAGGAATCCGCTAAAAATAACGTTGGAAGTAATAAAACCAAAAAAATCTGTGTATACGAATGAAACAAAAGCCGACCTTAAAATTAGCGGAAATAATAAAAGCATTGAAAAATTTGTTTTTTTGTTTTACTTTTTGTGTTTATTTCTCCCTGAGTTTAGAGATTTGTTTTTTGCTTGTATTTTTTTTTTTTTCATTTATTTTCCTTCATTTTGTACTTTTCTCCGTTTTTACTTTTCCCCTTTCTCTTTCTATCGTCGGGCTTTTTTAGTTTGCCTTTTCACATCCGCTTTCGATGGCTTTTCTTGTCCTTCGTGAGCGAAATAAACTTTCAACCAAATGTCAGCATAACCTTCGGCAAACTCAAATTGACGTCGACGAACGACAACTTCCTACGCCAGTGGCGATGCCAGCCTCGTTTTCAGGCAACAAACAGCCTGATAACTCAAATACACACGTGTGCCCCACCCAAAACATATTATTCATTACGAACTAATGGGGTTGCAACGAATGCCTTCTAATAATTTTCTACACTGCCCGGAGAATGTTCAGCTTTTGGTTTGAAAATAAAAAATAAAAAACGACGACCCTGAGTATTATCACTTTATTTCCTTTCAAAATGTTCTTTTTCAAATTAAGCAACGGCGAGCCTGGTCAGTACCGAAATGAGTAGTCACTAAGAATGTGCTCTAAGAATGGATGTGCAGGTGGTGTAATAAATAACGACACGTAATTGTGAATCGGAGAGCCGAATTCCAATTCCTGTTGGGTTCGATATATTCAGTTACAGTCAAAAGGCATTGGCAAATATACTGATCCACTTCTCCCCACCACCGCAGTCATGTATTGTTTAGTAAGTCTTCTATCACTAAATCATTTTTATCCACCCCAAATGAATTCTAACTATCTGCACATATTTCGGGCTTTAAATAACCTGCAAAGGGTTGATAAGCCGTAAAAAACGAATCAATCAATCAATAGACGAATTTGTGTCAGTGAACCATTATTATCTGACCTAAAAATTCTTACAATCTGCAAATATTTTCTGGCTTTAAATAACCTGCAAAGGGTTGATAAGCCGTAAAAAACGAATCAATCAATCAATAGTCGAATTTGTGTCAGTGAACCATTATTATCTGACCTAAAAATTCTTACAATCTAAAAATATTTTCTGGCTTTAAATAACCTGCAAAGGGTTGATAAGCCGTAAAAAACGAATCATTCAATCAATAGTCGAATTTGTGTCAGTGAACCATTATTATCTGACCTAAAAATTCTTACAATCTGCAAATATTTTCTGGCTTTAAATAACCTGCAAAGGGTTGATAAGCCGTAAAAAACGAATCAATCAATCAATAGACGAATTTGTGTCAGTGAACCATTATTATCTGCCCTAAAAATTCTTACAATCTGCAAATATTTTCTGGACTGAAATAACCATCAAATGGTTGATAAGCCGCTGAAAACGAATCAATCAATTATCACGTTCTCTTTAATCTCGTCCAAAACAATTGAAAAGCAATTTTAACGTTTGGAGAAGTCGTCCGACGTGAAACCGAAACTATAAGTGAAAGGCTGAAAGAACTAAATAAGGCGAAAATTAGCAAGACCTCCCCCGCCTTAACGCCCTAAAACATTTTTATACGGAATTTTATCCAATCCAAGGTTCGAGCAATATTCACGGTACAGAGTTACATTTTTTTTATGAAGCTTCTTTGTGCTTTCTAATCTAATATTAGGAAAAAGAGCAATTTTCGCTTAAAGAAATGAAAGGCAAATCAACAGTTTTTTTTCTTAATGTCGACCAAATAAAACGCTATGAGATGACCCACATTCACAGAGAAAACATTTCCAAAGTTTATTTAATGCCAAACTTAAAACGTTAATGGCGAAGTTAAAGGCGCTCAAACTTTTTCAAAGCTACGATAAGGATAAGATGAACGGGCTTATCTAAGCCAATTAATTCTGCCTCGGGACGAAATTATAATGAAGGAAATCAACATAAATTGTATTCTTTTATACACCGTTTGTGCAAATTAATTGAAACAACTGATTTAGTTTCCTTTCTTTCACTATACGGTCAATTTTAAACCCACTGGAGTGACTGGGGGTAATCGATTTCTATTTTTTCATCAGATTAGGTCATTTGCAGTAGTGTGCAGTAATATGAATCTATTTTTGAGGTGTATGATGAAATTTTTTGGCCTTGAAAAATATTACGTCATCCGTGATTGCATCAGATTTTCATCACGCCCAGACACTATTGTCTCGACTGTCGATTAGTTGTCCTACATCCATTGTCTGCGGTGGACGTTACTCCAAGGAAGCGTACGAAAATTGTAACGCTGCACGAACACACTGACAAGCCTTAACAGTGAGCAAATCAAAGTACTATAGATTGGCCCGGAAACTCTCCTGATTTAAATCCAATATAAGAATCTGTTGTCACTCTGCAAGGAACGACTTCGTGGAATGGACCTAGGAAGTACTGGGACATGAATCATTGGAAAATACGAAAAAAATTAAATAATAACGGAATTGTTCGTTTTGTTTCAATTAATTTGCACAAAGGTGTATCTCTACATTTTTTCATGTTCAATATTTGAAAACGCAGCTTTAGAAGGCCATAAGCGACTAATTTTAACTAAACATCTTGTCTTTTTCTTTTTCCTACCCCCACCATTGAAGCTTCGACACTAACGCAAGCGATGAAAAGTTATGTCGTTCTCGTGGTTTTCGTAGCCAAGCACACAGATTAGGAGATTTCATCCTTCAAAAATGTCACCAGATCCTTCGTGCTTAAGATCGGAAAAGAACTCCAGGCTTCAGGCAAAATGTGTCTTCACCGGCCAAAAGAAAAATACGTTCGCGACTATTTCGTCCTGCAAGTCCAGGGTATCATCGACGAGAAGCTCAGAAAAACTGACGAGGGCCATTGCCAGTCAGTGTCACAGTCAACAATCAGACATGTTAGAAGATAGAAGAGGTGGGCAGTTCATGTCCAACTGTACCCGGACGAGCCATATGATCCGGACGAAACCTTTTCTAAATCATTAAGCCATTTCATGGTCTTGTTAGCCATAATAGTTGGCCTCCTTGCTCTTCTGATACAATCTTAACAACATAAGATACACAGATAGTAGACTCGGAAAAGAAAGGGGCGTAAGGCAATGTTGCGTCTTCTCACCGGACCTAATCAACCTATAGAGCGAGGCAATTCTGAGAGAATTGGAAATCCTACCGGTATTCAGCATTGGCGGCCACAATCTTAACAAGATACGTAGATGACACCGTACTGACAGCAGACTCGGAAAAGTAATTACAAAACGTCCTACAAAAGTTAGCGAAGGAGAGCGAGAAGGGACTAAGGATAAACTACAAGAAGACAGAATGCAGGGTCATCAAGATGAGGTCAAAATGCAATTTACAGGTCGGGGACACAAAAATCGAGCAGGTGCGGAAATTCAAATATCAGGAAAGTGTTCTAACAAAGGATGGAAATTGTGACGCTGAGATCTGAAGAGGTATTGGAATGGCCAATGACGCATTCCAAAAGCTAGGCAGAGTATTACGAGACAGAAGAATTTATTTGGTACAAAAAGAAAAGAGTATTAAACTGCTATGTGATATCTGTCCTCCTTTACGTCAGAGAATGTTGGACGGTCTCCTCAAGGATGAAGAAGAGACTCAAGGCAACGGAGGTATGTTACTACAGGAGGATGCTAAGGATATCATGGACCGAACGTGTGAGCAAAGATGATTTTTGAAACGGATGCAAGCAAGAAGGAAGCTTATACTTAACATCAGCAAGGGGCAGATGAAAATTCTGGGACATGTAATGAGAAGGAAGGCCTGGAGAATCTGATACTCACAGGTCGAACAGAGGGAAAGGGAAGCAAGGGAAAACAACGCGTGACATACCTAGCGGGCTTAAGCAAATGGATGACAGAAGAGGACCTGGGGAAATAACAAAGTGACAAAAATTATTGAGAGCTACAAAGGATAAGGGGAAGAGGAGAGCCATGATCGTCTATGTTCTGAAGGGACACGGCACATAAAAATGAAGCTTTGCTGATTCAGACACAATAGACTGTTGCGTCTTTGAAAGGGAGACTAAGTAAGCATGCCCAGAGATGGTTTCTATCGGGGACGTTATGCCCAGCAGTAATAAAGAAAACCTGACCAATGCTTGTAACTGATTGAAAAGACCCATCGGGTCTGCTGCCCATTATATCGAACAGACTTATATTTTAAGTATGTATTCAAGAATATGTGAACAAAATTCTGTAAAAATATATGCTGCTTCTTCTGTTAGATAATATGATTGCCTCATATTAAAATTGTTCTCAAATACCTGACGCGCACACATCTATTTTTAATCCACATAATTCAAAAGATATCTTAGTGTATACTCGTGTTTGAAATAGACATAAATAAATATTTATAAAATAAAAAAGGGGGTGTCTAACGCCTGAAGTAATAACACACACAGTTCAGTCAGTTCTGTGCCATGCGTGATACACGCTTAGGCGATCATGTATCTTACGATACATGAAAAACGAGGCAGATTTTTCCCGCATTAGGCAGCTATTTCTTTCTGCGGTAGACCAGTTGCCATCCAAGGCTACAGAACCCGGTCTGTACTGCTATTTACCCATAGCTGGGAGGATACGAAGAGGATTCATACATTTCCCAAAGGTCAGTCAATTATGTGCCATACAGGATACACGGTTAGGCGATCATGTATCTTTCAATACATGACTGACGCGGCAGGTATTTTTCCTGCAGTAGGTTGTCATTTCTTTCTACGGTAGACCAGATGCCATCCAAGGCTATAGAACCCGGTCTGTCCTGCTATTTACCCATAGCTGAGAGGGAGAGGCAAGAAGAGTATTCATACCTTTCCCAAGGGTAATAGATTCGACTGGAATTCGAACTCGGCTCCCTGATTCCTCAATCCGAGCCGCTATCCATTACTCCACGTATAACATTCCTAATAACACACACACACACACACACACACACACACACACACACACACACACACACACACACACACACACACAGCTGAAAGGAGGGAAAGAGGGAAAAGAAATAGGGAGGAAGTACATGAGACAACAATAATATGATAGAAAAGGAAAAATAACTACATGCTACACATACAAACATACACACACGTACACGCGTACCCACATATAGACACGCGTACACACAGAAAAGAAATATACAGACACAAAGAAGAAAAAAAATCAATCTAACACCAATAAAAAGCGCATAACTTATTTCATAATATTAAGCTTAATATAAGAATAAAGAAAATTCGAAAATCGGCAGCTAATTGCTGAGATCTCCTGACGAGTGGACTGAACGATTACAAAAAGATTTGTCTACGAAATTCTGGAGTCGTGGTGCTGAAT